TTATTCAAACTATTGCATGTAATAGTAATAAGTTCAGTTAGAAATTACCATGGATCTTAGAATGGTTTTTTAGAGCAGTGCACCGGGTATAATGAAAATTTTCTATTTTAAACTCTCAATTATTTCTTCTCCATCTTTTTCAATCACTGAAAAAAGACTATTTGCAGCCATCTTTGTGGCACTGTGTTTATTGGTTGTTGCACAAAACAACTGTCAACCTCGGTAAACGTAGTACTTTCTGCAAATCGGGCTGCCAAAGCTAAAACTTTTGCTGTTAAAAAATCTTACTAATTTTTTCTATGCTTCAAAGAAAACTTTTTGTTTATTGCACAATAAACAAGTGCTTCTAGTGTAAAGAAAATGAGTTCCTTTTTTTTCAGAAGAAAAAGTTTAGTAAAAGAAGCGAAAAATTAACAAATAAATAAGTGAAAAAACGATAATTTTGATAACTTGATAGAGGAAAGGTTCAAATAAATTTACCCCATGGGTTACCAACAAAGACAGCTACATTCAACACTACACTAGATCTTTCCCTCTCCCCCTCTCTACCTCGGAAAAAAACTTTAACGATTCAGGGACCTTTCGAAAAATCACAAGAATCCAATTCAGTACTGCTAGAGCTAAAGCGTCTTTATTTGGTCGCACCTAATCCGAGAAGAATCACTGCTGACAGCGTAATCATGTCTTTCAATCAAATTTAAAGGATCTTTGCAGCAGTCCACAGACATTCGCATGTTGTATGAGCAAAACCCTTTTCCATCCGATCAAATATCAACAGGCAGAACACTTGCCGTCGATGTGTGACTAAACTTGTTTTGAATTTTTTGAATAGCTGATAAGGCTTGAACGATTGGGGAGGAACAAACGGAAAGAAACGCTGAATTGTTCAGTGCCTTTCTGAAATTTTTTGTATAGTAAACCTTACCGTAAAGGTTAAGCCACCAGGTTTATATTGCTAAAAAGTTTTTTTTGCACGAATTGTACAACAAAACAATTTATGAAGTGAAAAGGCACTACTGTTTTATTGCGCAATAAAACAAACTCTAACTGACTGTATTTAGTCAGTACTTCTTTTTATAACAGGGTGGAATGTAGAATAGGTTGATTAGGATAAATAAGTTTCTTCAAAATACTTCTAGGGAATTCATCCAAGCAGTTATCAATGTCTAGATGCCTAGTGCCAATCAAGCAGAAATATAACAACATACAAAAGAAATACGTATAAAGACAACACATTTGATTGTACTTCATCCGTAGACTTTGATAATACATAATCCTAAAAAACATAATTATGTCAAATTTTCAATTCAGCAATTCCTATGAAGTTCGTGAATCACGTCAACATATTATTGCATTGGATTGCATAATGATTGTGACATTACATATATA